CCAGAAAGTCAGGCACCTAACTGTGCAGCTGCCTGGATGCCTATCTTTCTCCCAGTCCTCTGCAATTTAAAAAAGAAGTCTTTTGCATTTCACTTCTTGAGCTGTTGCTTCACGTAGGTGCTGGAATTTAGGATTGCAGCAGCTTGACACACATACCATAGGGATTTCCTGGTTTGCTAAGTGCACTTTGTAGCTGCAGGTGGCCAAATACACTTCAGTTTGAAAAGCACAAGTGCTTAATTAGCTTTTAGCAATTGAAGAAATTAAATAGTGTCTGCTGATGGGACCAATCATGCTGTTTAACAAAGGTGACCAATTGCAGCTCTTCCTGTATTCCATCTCCCTATTTAGTTCAAGTATTTAATTTAGAAAACTGCAATCAGCTTAATTATTTAAAATATTATTTTTACTGTATTTTTGATAATTCAGAGCTATATAAAGCCTTAGGCAACTGTGAAATAAATTCATTTTTCCTTCCTTTACCACTTCAGATTAAGTGTGATTGTAGCTATCATGTCTTACTTCTTGCTCAGGATCACACAGGGGAAAAAAAAAAAGGAAAAAGAGAGATTAAACTAACAGGCAGACACATATAGCTGAGGAGAAATAATGAAATTCTGAGTCTAGCTATAGTTGTTTTTTGTTGTTTGTTGTTTTTTTTTTTTAACTAGAATATATTAACCATTAGTAAGTACTCTCGTGGTTAATGTACACCAGCACTAGCACACTAAGTACACTAGTACTTGCAAATAGCCCCTGTTGGCCAGATTTATATTTTAACAGCTGTTGCAGCTGCAGGTTCTGTGGATTTAACTCTCCCTCTGCCCTGAGCTGATTGTACACTTCAATGCCTTTACTGCTCTGGATGTTCACTATCACATACCCAAGCCCAGTCTTCAATATTCCTGTTCTTTTAACTATTCTGTCACTTGTGAAGATTTTCTTGTGTATACTGTCTTTTAGCATGTTCCTGTTGCTCTGGCTATGATGATATCAATATATCACAGGCGAAGCAAGGTATGCCCTGCTGAGTACTTAGAACAACTGGTAAAACAGATGAAGAGGCTGAAGAAAACTCTATTTCTGAAAAATACATTCTAGTCTTCCCTTACATGATACGTAATGTGTCATTGTTTTGTTATGTGTATTAATAGCAACCCAACTCTCAGTAAAGAGTGGACATCAAGGGTATTGTATCAGTAGTTCTGAGAAGTATTCAAATTACTAAAGACAAACCTAAGAATTAGCTTCCCACCCTATGCCTAAACTCCTATGCCCAAACTCCTGTTTTAAGCATTGTTTGGGAATGCCCAGATACTCATGGAAAGCAATGCTTTAGAAATCACCAAGCAGATAATTTGTTGAAACAGAAGACAATTGTAACAGCTGCTATCATCAAAACAGCTACTAAAAATATACTCATTGTACAATCACAAACTGGTAACTAGTAAACACCACTGGCATTTGTGTATAATGACACTGCTGTGTTATGGGCAAAAGACTGTTCTCAAAGCTTAAAAAGTTCACAGAGAAACTTGCAACTTACATCCAAATTCAACTCTTTGGCATTCTTTTTGGCACTAGAGTTGTATCTATTTCTGTTGGGAATGATACAGCCCTTGTTATTTCCAGGTTCATATATGCACAATCACTCTGAAATAACATTACCAATACAAGTAGCTGAAATTTCCTAATAGTTTTAGTGTCCTTTTCAGATACAGTTCTTTCTCCTTTTCCCAATGCTAAGAGATTTTCTTCCATCACTATAAGAGCAAATGCAGAACATCCTGTTCTGTGCAGGATTGCATTTTCATCTTTGTGCCAATTACATGAATGGCTATCAGGAGTTATCAGGCTTTCAGAGTTAAGCTTTTAGTTTCTGGTTTGTCCCACATGCTTTGAAAGGGTACAATGTCTGTAGAACCCTTAAGGTAAAACAGAAAACATAAAACATGAGGTGAAGGGAGAAGCAGCACTGCCTATTGTTAGACACTGATAAAGAATACCAAATTCATTTAACATCTTCCAGTGGGAAACAAGTGAAATAATTCCTCAACTGATAATTTGCCTGTAGATTACTCCTTTGTGTAGAAAACAGGGGAGGAGCAGAAATATGTTTCTGGCTGTCCTCAGAGATGTGCTGATTCTCCAGATCAAAAAAAGCAGAATCCAGCACTTTGCCTTGTTGAACTTCATATGGTTGGTGATTGCCCAGTGCTCTGATTTGTCGAGGTCTCTCTTAGCTGCTTTTATGTTATATTTTCATCCTTTACCTTGTATGTATGATACAATGCCTCTTGGTCCGCATCCACGTAATTTTCATGTCTTCCTTAGAGATCTTCATATTGCTTGCTAAAATAATGCTAAAATTACAAGCAGCTAGAAAAACTAGGGCAGTGATTACTGAATATATGTCCCAAAAATGGAGACATCAAGCTGTTTAACATCTTTCAGCTGCAAGTATAAGAGTTCTTGCCTTGATCTTACAACCTCTAGTCACAAGAATATTTCCAAAAGTTATCTGGCGATGCTGCCCCAGCAAAACTCTCCCTTCTGCAGGGTACATCTGTAGTCTAAATTTTATTCTTCTGTAGAATAAATAAAAAAAAGAAATCTTCTATAATAACAACTAACAAGATCTCTTTGCTTTTCTAGCCCTCCTTTACTTACAAAGCTCTGGAATGTAAACTAGATGAAGATGGCATTGTGCTACATGGATACCTGCTGCTTCTTCAAAGAACTCATAACAGGAAGTCACAGTGCAAGTCACTGGGGTCAGCTGTTTTGTTCAGACAATTACACTGACTATCACTAACTTCAATATCCTGACTTTCCTTCCTAAACATTTTGACTGCCATGCAAAAGGAAGGAGATTATAAGAAGTATGGCATAACTAATTGCCTCCTGTTGGAAGACAGTTGTGATACATGTTGTGCAAACTGTAAGTATTCTTGGGCCCAAAACCAAGTCTGTTTACTATGCATGTAAGGCATCCATAATAAAAATTTACTGCTGTCTAACCTGGGCTTGCAGTTACTAGAAACACTTACTTGAACAAACATGTCAAGTTCACCAGCAAGAGTTTCTTTAGTAGAATTTAATAAAAGAGTATTAAGAAAAAAATGAGTCTCTAAAAATACAATAGCAAGATTTAAAAATGTCTTACATACACGTGTTGGAAGAAGAGGGAAAGAGAAATTTCTGCTAAACAGTATTGCCAGCTACTAACAGAAAGTTTCATTAAAGAGTTTCATAGTGCTATAGCATGTGTAGACATTTCAGTTATCAAGCAAGTTCAGTGACACAGACAAGAAGCCTTAAAATTCAAGCGAGGTGGTTTTAGTTTAATCTCTGACACATAAGAGGATATTTACCTTCAGAAGTTCACATGAAAAGGTAGTTTATTTTTAACATATGGGACTAAGAAACATATAGTACAGTTTTGTGTTCAAACCAAAGCAAGCAACAAAGCATGGTTATTTGAACTTTGTCCAAAACAAGAATAATTGGACTCTACTGATTTGGTTGAAAAAGTGAAACATCATACCGACTTGTATTACCATAGATGGAGATTAAATTAACTTTATGAAATAACTTTGGTCACCTTGGCAGAGAATACTAAGGTTTGAGAAAAAATCTGTAAGATCCTTGCACCCAAAGGACAAGTAAGGAGACTCTTTTTGCAGTGCAGCCTCTCTCTGGCAGTTACAGATCTGCACGTTGTGTAGGAACGCTTAAAACACAGACTTTAAATACCACAACGAACATAGACACTGCAACCCTGGGAGTGAGTTACAACTTTCAAGTCTGTCCTTCAAGATGCAGTGAAATCTAGAATGTAAGCCCCAGTTGGAAACTAGAAAAACCCCCACACCTCTTCTGTCTCACTGATTTCAAGTGAAGGTTGAAGTGTTCTTTCGCAGTCAGATCCTGAAACAGATCTTTTGAACTACCATGTGGGTTCCCCACCCTTGGATTAAGCCCTTGATTGGAGGCAAAACAAGGAAGAGACGGAAGTGGTAACACACATTGACAGGGGACTAAGACACAGGAGAGTAAACAGGAGAGAACAGCAGTGAACAAATGTCCATCAACCCTCTTTATGAATTTTTATTTACTAAAATGTTCCTTAAAGAGTTTCAGCATTAACACTGTTACTTGTTATCAATAATTGACTCTGTATGTGGAAAGTAATTAGACCTCTTTGAGATTATTGCACAAAAACCTGGAAGCAAACAATTAATAACCCTTTGAAATGCACATATAGATCAGTTTCTGAAATTGAGTTACAGAATGTTTCTAAAGTACAAAATATATTGTTAAAGAATAGAAATGAAATACAATTACTTTTATTTGAATCAAGTCCAGCAAGAAAATATTTTAAAATGGCAAATACCCCAGCACTTCCTGAATGCATCCATAATCTAGCTATTTTATCATGGGTGTTATCATATTTCCACTCCGTCCCCAAAATGTATAATCTTGACAAGAAATTCAAAATAGGTAAAATATAACAAAATGCATTCTCTTTTAATATATATTCCCATCTTGGTATTTAATGCTTAACCTATAAATAGACAGTCTCTGACACAAGCATGATTTGTAAGTGCGTTATTGTGCTGTTTTAAGATTAAAATATTTCACATGAATAAATCCAAAGCAGTTCATTCTTCTATTTCATTAAGTATCAAAACTGGAATTTGCATTTTATCAGTTTGTGAGTATATGCTGATGACTACTTCAATATATATGTAATTCACAAAAAGTATTGCTCATCTGAGTGCTAGGTAAATACTATATACAGATACCCAAAGAGAAATGTCATGTAGTGCTACTGTTAATAAAAGTTTTTAAGTAGTACAAAAATTTTCAATAATTTATATCCTGATTTTTTTATGTGTGTGCTACCAGGAAAAAATTACAGGAGAGTTAAAAAAAAAATAATCAAAATACAAAATACATATCCCAGTTACTCTCTGCTAAAGGAACAAAACCATCTATTTTTTAGACAGATACAAAGTATTGCATTTAATTAAGATATTCTAGTAATTACAATTTTAATTTAATAAAGGAATATGGAGGCAGCATGTGGTAGATTTAAGTTCTTACAATCTGTTAAAGTAATACACAATTGAAAATTAATGATGTGATCTAGAATTCTTAGGTTGTTTCCAATCTGTAATTTCAGCATAGTGCTACATATTGTTCAGTCTTGAGGCTAAAATCAAGAATCTTTGATTCTCTTTCTATCATAAGCAAAGCTCATATGCATCTTTTCTTAAACCTTTTTAGCAGCATAGTCAGCTTTATAAAGAGGAAAAGGCAAAATATTACCATAATTTACATATGCTAATAATCTTTCCAAGGCATCAAAAGACACAGCTCGAAATCCTTATAACTGCTGACAAAAATATATTAACATACACTTGCATTTACACTTTCAAAAATTTGTAGTTAGTGTAAAGTTGGCCTATTAAGCAGTAAAGTGCAAAATATTTGGTATAATATCTACTGATTAGCTTTTGCTTCTGTGGAATACAAAGGATTAAGTCTGGCTCTTCCATTAACAGCTATGGTGTTTGATGGAGGACCAACCTGGAGGCAGGAGAGAGAAAAAAAAAAAGAGAAAAAAATATTAAAGAAATATTAGCCTAACTTTCCATATTTTTCTCTCTACAGTATGTTACACAGTATTACTTCAAGGAAACAGAAATACTGTTACTTCAGTTAGCATTTTTCTCACTGCAGTCAATGACCTCCTATATGATTTCCGTAAAAAGCATATATGCTACAGAAGTGGAAATATAAGACATTACTTAAAAACATATTTTATTAAAAACATATTTTTTCCTATCTAAAAATTCCATGTATAACTACTCAAAACATGAATAATTTTTATTCCTTCTCCAGACCCAGTTGCAAAGAAATACTTGAAAAACATCACTAAACTAAACACTTTTTATTAACTATTGAATAGAGCTGATTTCTTTCTAATACTCCTTTATACCATGGTAATGTTTCTTTTATCAAGAGCAAACCATATCTTTTATGATAGACAGCAAAGGCCTGACTTTCAGTGGAGCTATATAAACCAATGATTCCAACTGGAGTTAATGGGAGCTGTGGAGGCTCCGCAGCCATGAGAACCACATACCAAAGCACAGTTTACTAAACACAATGAAAACATTCTCAAGAGAAAAAATGGTTAAAAAGAAACCTCACTTGACCCATTTTAGGTTAGTAATTACTGAGGGCCCTATTGAACAGGAAAGACCAACAACACAAAAGGCCACAGATCTCAGCACTGCATACTCACAACATATTAAGTAAAACAGAGGGTGAAAAAAAAATTAAGGAATTTGTCTAGTGGTGCCAAGATTTTATTTTTAATGATTCTCACACAGAGAGAAGCAAGCACCTGACAGACCTCTCTCACAATTCAAGTGGATCAGATTATCACTCCTTTTCCTGACTGCACTACAATACTGGAAGATACGAGGTGAATGCATTTTAAAAGTCCTTTCAATACTAAAAATCACTTTTGTGTGAAAAGGAGTTACTGATACAAAAGGTTTCATTCCTCTATCCTCCTACTGCCAGTTCTCCATGTTAAACATAAAATGAGACCATGTTTTTGTTAAATTTGCCATAGGCCAAGAAACTTCTTACTGCTGTCAGACATACCTGTACCACAGCATATGTGCTCTGGGTGAGAGTGAGAAGAACAGCATGTACAATTTTATGTTTGGCAAAACTTCAGTGAGTTCTTCATTACATTTTCTTTGTGTTCCAGGGGTTTTTTTGAGGCCTGTTTCAGGTTTCTGTGCTGCAGACTGCTCTTCTTTATGGTTACAGCTTCTTCATTATTATAATTTCTCCTTAAAAAGTACAGCCCTCTCCTCACCCCAGCCCCAACACATAGTACATTGACAAAGGACATATCCCACCCATAGAAGAGAAAGGGAGGGGAAAACTGACTTCAGTTACCATTTCTCTCCCTTTCCACAAGCCATTCTTGTACCTACACTGATAAAGGCTATATGAGTCAAATTTACAAGAAGGACATTTGTATTAAAAAAGAATGAATAACTAGGTAATGAAGCTTTTCCTTGTTTTCTTTCTAGTAGAAATAGTTTTCTTGAATTTTGAAAAGTACATTATGGATTTTATTTTTTAAAACAGTTACAAGCAACTGGGCCAACTGCCATGCCTATGCATATTTCCCATAGAATCATAGAGCAAAGGTGACACACTACGAAAAATGAATAAAGTTCTGTATTATTCAGAATGTAATTATGCATTGGAGGAAAAAAAAGCCTTGATGAAAATACATGCAAATGAAATCCAAACAGTATTTCTGGTAGAACAGACAGATTTGACCTCTAACTGATTCCGAACAATACAGCATTTTCTTAAATCTTATATTGTTTTTAAAGTGGCTGTAGTTAGTGACATGTAGTTAGAAGTAATACTACTTGTATTATGTACCATTTTTACTGACTAGAGATCAAAAACTACTTGAGTATGCCTGTAACTTTTCCAGGAAACTCAATCTTCCTGTTCAGTGTAGAAATCATGGGGGGCCTATAAGCCTCAGAGAGGCTGTTGCACCACTACACTGAAACAAAACCTTATGTATGAAATGTTCCAACATCTGACCATCCACTGAAAGAATTTGACCTTTGAGGGTATCAAAGACTTCCATAAAACAAACAAAAAAAAATTCCCTTGTATCTACCCACCGCGCATCATTTGTTTCTTTCAAGTTTCAAGCAGAAAAGGGAAGAGAAAAAAACTACGGAATTTCTTTAACCTTCTGCAATGGGAAATTATTTCTTAATACAGAATGCAAAATACTAATGTAAGATCGAGAAAAGTTTGTTTGAGACTATGATTGTCTGGTTGCAAATTTAAAACAGTACAGATTTTTAAAGTGTGCAATGCTTTATCCAATGAGACATTTATAGGTTAATTTTAGGAAAGAGAAAAGAAAAATTAAGCCCCAGTTTTAACCAGAGGGGGTGGGGGAAGATGGTCCTACAAGGACTGTTGACAAAACATTGAGAAATGTCTTAGTAATGATGCCAAACAGCAGCAGGAGGCTTGAAGAACATTTAAGAATTATCTGATAAAGTCTAATAAATAGGAAAATAGTCTTCAGAGCTCTGTGTTATCTGCCTGCAAAAGATTGCAGCCACTTCATGTCTAGAGTGAAGCTGCTTAGCAGTTTTCTAAAGCCATACACTCTCAAACATAAGTCAGATATTATGAAAGATATGCCTAATTGATAACCTAGAGAATTGCTTCATTTCAGAAAGATTTGATTACATTTGTACTATTTGAAAATATAGCTTTGTGTGTGCATTCACCAGTTTATTCTGGAAAATTGACCCCTCTTCCTCACCTCCTTTCCCATTGTTAAGAGACCTCCTGGTAGCACTTTGTGCCAAAGCTAACTGCTTTTAGTGTCAGGCATTAGTATGGCAATTTTGGAGGAAGTACCATGAATTCATTGTTATGGATGCAGTGATGAAAACTCACCCTTTTCAATTTGGCAGCAGCTTCTCCAGAGCGGATTGCAGCCAGCAAGCTCTGGTGGATCTGTTCTGGGTCAGAGCGCGGGAACGTCATCGCGGTTTGTCTCTTAGTGACAGGGGGTGGGTGGTCAGTGGAAGCACCTGACTGCGCCTGACTCTTCTGCTCACTATTCACATTGCTGTCTTTCTATAAAGGGACGAAGTGGGAGGAAAAAGAAACCAAAAAATTTTAATCTGAATTAGTTATAAATGGAAAACTGAGTCAACCTGGCACAAGGTGGCATAGCAAACTGCTGCCGTTCTAGTGTTTGGTTGATTCAAGATTTCAGAGACCAGCCACATTCCCACTGGAATAGTTTCTCCCTCAAATAATTATGCCAGCAAAATTTTATGCCTCCGTTCAAGTGTGTTTGTGGCATGATCACTTGAAGCCAAACTAATCACACCACTTAGAATTAAGTTTAAGAAATTAACACACAGAACCATAAGGAACAAATCATAAGCACTCCAAGCGTAATAATAGGTATACACAGGATAAATGACTATTTAATTTACAGTTCTTTAAAGCAGGGGATGCTGATTATGATAAGAAATAAATATTTCAAATCATCTGAATTATATTGTTCTCATTTTTAACATTCTCTGTATTCATGTACTTCATTATAATGCTGTGCTACTGCTGAACACCACTGGGTGTTTTCACTGTACAAATACAGCCCTTTCTGACCAGGAAGTGGTTCACAGACAAGCTTTTAGAGTGGTTGCACTAGATGGCAGTGGATCAACAGTCAACCAGTATTAGAAATAAAGTTTACCTTGTCCATTAGACTATTTTGTGGCCCCACTGTTAAGGTCTGTAAGGAAGGGCTTTTCACTTGAGGCATGGAGGTAGCTGAGGAGAATTCAGCTGCCAAAGTGGCAGAGGAGAGTTCAACAGGAAATTCCTCTCTAGGTGCCTGGTAAGTGATTGTACGCGTCTTATTGAATGATTGCGACCTTTTGACTGCAGAGGAGACAGCAAGAGCAAAAGGGGATGGTCTTGAACTGGAGTATGGCTTTGGAACTGCAAAAGTTCTTAGAGTTTTTAGGTTCAGTGGTGCTGGAGGACAGGGGGGATAAATTAAAGGTTTATTGCTTTTAACAGGAGAAGTGGAGGATTCAATGTTTTTTCCATCATCAACTTTTTCTTCATCTGCTGGAGGAGAGGAAATACTTGTTTTATGTAAAGCCAAAGAAGTCAGATCAGGTGATGAGATTTTTTTCCCCATCTCTGTATTCTTAGCTTCATTTTGAATTGAATTAGGAGCACAAATGGTACTTCTGGCAACTGCAGATGTCACATAATGACCTGAAGCTCTTCGTTGCATCTGCAGATAAAAAGAACTAGGCTTTGTTGTAGGACTTAATGCATTTGACTTGTCCTGAGTCTCAGAAGAAGCATTTGTATTATCCAGGCTTAGCATCAGTGGGACACGCTGCTTGAAAGACTCCTTTTCCATCTGGTTGCTCTCAGTAGTAATCTCAGCTCCAGAGGTCACAGTATGTTCAGAAATGCTGTTCACTCTCTGCAGCAGATCATTCGCTGCTGCAGCTTCATTTTGTGAGCCAACCTGTAAATGACCCACACTTTTTGACAGATGAGGAATTTCAGCTTGCACTATGAATTCTTTGGGGTCTTCATGCTTCAGAGAATCTTCCAAAGTAGATACCTCTTGATCCTTATGATCTGATGGAACTTCTGGTTCCCAGCTCTTCATTATTTCTAAGAATTTTGGAGGCACTATTTTATAAGTAGTCATGCCAATTTTTGGTATGTAATCCCTTGTAATTTCATTAGCAGGCTTGGGTTTAGGTCTGGTGTCCTGTCTATAAAAAGGGTGACCTTTTACAGAAAAGTCATCTGGAGTTTTTGCAGTTGTTTCTGGTAAAACAAAATTACTGCCATTTATACAGACGTGACTCTGGTCTTTTATGGGAATTATATTTCCATGGGTAACTTCTTGTGTCTCAAGATTTTGTTCTACTGACGTGTCTTCATCCCCTTGCTGTGTTCCATGCATCACTTGAAGAAGGGGGTTGTTTGTATCTGTGTTATGTTGAGAGACCAGTTCTCCGAATGTGGATGATTCAACACCCTGAGGAACAATAATTTCTTTCCGAGTAGACCTTCCCAAATTGCTATCCGAAGGACCTGTCTGGATTGCAACATCCTGAGTTTTTACTGTATCCAAGCTGCTTTGATTTGTTTTGTCATCTTGCTTTTCTGACATCAGTTGAGGATAATTCCTATGACTTACAGAGATGTCATTTTTACATGCCTGGAAGTTTGATAGTCTGTCAACTTCGAGCTTGTTATTTTCTGTAAAATCTACTGGTTTAATTTCAGCTGTCTGAAGTTCTTTCCCTTCTTCTTTTGTTGGAAGGAGTTTTGTATCGCTGTGATCTTTAAGTTAAAGAAAGATTCCAAAATTAATACAAATGCCAAAAAGATTCAATCTTCCTCCTTACATCAAGAAGCTCTGCATCTAATGTATTTAACTACAATGACTGGCTTCTCACTGACATTAAAAATTTCCTTAACACTTACTTTTAAAAGTTATTTAAAGATATAAGTATATTTGACTAATATTGCCAAATAGTAGTATTCTAATTCAGGTATTCTTCCTTAATAAACAGGCTACTGGTGCAATGCATTGACTTAATAGAAAAAACTATTCTAGAATCATTTAAAAAGTGCTAATGAATTTCAGTTGATTATATAGGCATTGGTGACTCAAGAGCTCAAGGACTATTCAATATCAATTTAGATACAGCCTTTATTTGGTTCCACACATTTGTGGCTTCTGTTCTTTAGTTTTAATGTCACATCTTATTTGTCAACTTCGCCTTATGTATTTGTACATGGAAACAACTGAAAAACATATGGACAAGAGCAATTTTTCAAAACTATTTTTCCTACTCTTTAGTTGGCCTGATAATTCAATTTTCTACCCCTGGACTAAACACGTGATCGTCTCCAAAACATGTGAATATTTGAGTCAAATTGTTTTAAACAGAATATTGGGAAAAATTAAAGTCTTCAGGAATAATCATTTGAAGTGGTTATTTTGTGGGGGGAAAAAAAGTCCTCATTTCAAGTATGTTATAAAATGGAGGATAAAATTTATATCACATATAAACAGGACTCATGCAGTGTTGTTATGATTTATAAACAGAGGTGTACTGAGTATAAAAGACTACGGAAGGCCTAATATATAAATCTGAAAATCAGTGTCACAAAAGGGTAAAATAAATCAGTCAGGTCACTAAATCCACAGAAAAATTTATGATCCATTAGATGCACAGGATGTCGTCATTTCATTTCAGATCAGCGTGTCACTTTCTTCTATTTGTGCTTAAAAATATTTGCATTTTCATGCAGAAAACTCACACTAATTTCATAAGCAAAGACCAAATGATGGTCTCTTCTTCTCTGCTGGGGTATGGTACCCATGGCACCCCATAGCAGGATAACCTTTGTGTCCAGCCTTCCCTCTCCTTGGCACTGTCCCACCCGTCCCACCCTACAACAGCATAACACAGCTTTGACTACTGCTATAACAAAAATATACCAAAAATACCTGCTCCCCAAAAAAATCCCTGCATCCAATTCTTGCCACCTCATCTCAAAGAGAATACACCAAAGCTAGAGAAAGTGTAAAGAAAATAATCTGATGATAACAATTCAAGAGTTGACTGTATTGTCATTTCTTCAAAGGAATAGAAAAGGTCTCTTCAACCTTGCTTTGAAGTATTAAAAACGAGTGGGAACTACTCACCATTGGTTTTATTTTGATCTAAAATTTTAAGCTTCTTGTCTTTTTCAACTCCAGCATCCTCACTGCTTATCTTAGTCTGTAGTCCTCTGCAAAGCACAACAGTACATTAAATATGCTGGTATCATTCATTTCAGTAAACACGAGAAACAATGCAAGAGAACTGGCAATATTCTCCAAATACAGATGGACAAAACAGAATTGCTCTGCCAAACACTGGAATACTCGACAGAATAGATTATTTTATTTTTTATAAAACAAGAGGAAATGCTGCCATGATATTCTACCAAAATGACAAGCAGCTCCACTTGCTTCTGTGTAAGCAGATGATCAGTTTTCCTTTCTCTTCTCCCCCTCCTTTTGCTTACATGTGCAGTTTGAACAAGCCCCTTTCCAGTAACAACTCCTTTTCAGTGAAGCCACAATGGTTTTTCACTCATATAACAACATTAGTGTGAAGTGCTCTGACATCCCCCACATCTAAAACGTGCCCTTGATTTTGTCCAACACCACAATACACAGGAAGCTGCATGAGATGCTGACTGTGTATGAACACATGAACTGTGCAGTACAGACTTTTCAAAATAGTCCCTTTCCAGAAATACTTGGAGAACAGCGAAGAAACATCCACCAAACATATTACTTGCATACTAAATATTTTGCAAATGCATATAGTATCTGTTCCCCTCAGATCATGGGGGACAAGGGAACTGCACAAATGTTGAATAAGGGGAGGTGGTGGGGGTGGGGATATTAAGTCCTTGGCTTAAAAAGGTAAATGAAAAAGGCAAAAATACTTAAAATTTCTCTACACAAAGTTATTAGAACTTCCAACTTCCATCTTTGCACTTTCTGTAGTTAGAAATACTGGCATTATGAAGATTCCAATTCATTTGCCACATCAAACGCATTAGTTGTCAGAAACCAGTGCCTTGAGCTGACACATCTGCTTTGAATCATTTAAAATGATAAATTTCTCAATAACCATCCATGCACATGCTGCTTAAAGTACCAGATATACTGTAAATGTCCAATAAACCACTGAACGGGAGTGTATGCCCTCAAAATTATTGTTGGAAGAAAGTTAAAGCTTGGCCCAGCACTCTGTACTCTTGCTTATCTTCATTCCTTTTAACAGAGCTGAGGGACTGAGCTACAACTATTAGCAACAGGCTGAATTGGTCTTTTAATAGAAAAAAATATAATCAAAAACCACCAAACCCAAAAGCCACAAAGCACCACAGAGTATCATTACAGAAATTAGTGGTTTTGACTGGAATATTACACATATTTCCCTGCTTTGATCAAAGAAAGTATATCTGAAAGTAACTAGATCTTATATAAAAGATCTGAATTATCAAAAGTTTTCCAGAAATGTAATGTCAGAGAAACCCTAGTTCACATTTTGGAGTCCCTGTGATATTTCAGGAAACAACTGCCAAACTCTAAATCTGGAGCACAGTACAGGCTTAATGATACCAGGATTATAAGGCATGAAAGGCTACTGCAAATTCATCAATGGGGTGGGTAAGAAACATCCCCTGGACAACTACCCAAACTGGCCCAATAACAAAGGTCTGACAAGTTCAAGACAACTTATTAGATCCCCATAGAGGAGACACACCTAAGCAACTGGGACAATATTTGTCAGGACAGAGCATCAAAGATTTTTGCAAAGTCACATTTGGCCTTGGACTGACGAAAAAGTCCCTACAGATACAAGTCAAAGCTCTCCTTACTGCCTTGAAAGTTCTTCACTACTAGGGCAGTCACATTTTGGCTTCAGTACAATAATTGAAATAGTTCTTTCAATTTAATTTGGGAACAGTAGCCAGTTTAGTTGCCCCAGGGAACAGAGAAACAGTGAATTACATTAACACAATGGGACTTCTCTGGACAATCAACATTTATTTCAAGCAGGCACTAACTCATGTTGGGAACCTGCTGAGTCAGGTACTTTAACAAACATGCTGAAGGGCAAAGGTATAGCATCAACAGAAGGGGAAAAGAGCGGTTAAGGAAACTAATGTGTTTATTCTTTAAAAAAGCAGAATTAACTTGTTTTCCTGAGAGCAAATGGATTGAGACAGGTCAAGACAACATATAAGGAAAAGAAAAAATAAAAATTAAAGCCAAAAAAGATGCAAGCAATAGATAACCATGCCCCAAAAACCAGAAATGGCTGATCTACCCGTTTTTCCCCATCTGTAAGAAAGAATTTGTGTATTTTTATTTAAGTAATCAATCCCATTTTTTTTCGCAGCATACTGCTGTAATAAATAGAGTATTTTAGAGCTGGGTTCAGCTTTTCTGGGGTCCAGCTGTTTGAGTAGTAAGGAAAGGGAGGCTTAAACAGAATAGCCTACAGAACACTTCATTGTCATTTTTGTTGAAAAGCTTCATGAATTACTGTGCACAGAAGAGTGCTGCAATGAAAGCTAAGCATATTAAAGCTCATCCCTCTCACAATTCTCTATTCTGTGCTCCACAATAAAACAGCACTGCGTTTTATTTGCCTCCCCCATCGCCTCCCCAATGCTCCTTTCTTTGTCACAAAACGTACTTACTTGCCATCTGTGCTCATATTTTCTTGTTTTTCTTCCTTGAAGCTTTGTGAGTTGTCTAAGGAAACACTGCCAGGAACAGGAGTTGATGGAGCAGGATCATTTTTTTCATTTTCCAGTGGTACCTCAGCAGAGCTGAAGGCTACAGTAACCTCTCCTGTCCTGAGAGAGGTATTGGTACTTTCACTCTTCTCTCGCTGTTGCACACTTATCTCGTCCCTTTCATCAATTTCTTCCAGGTTGTGTTCTGAGCTCCGTACACCTACACTCAAAAAAGAAAACAAAAAAAAGCAAAAAAAACCCAAAACCCAACAAAACCCCAAACAGCCCACAGCTCTCAATGCAGGGCATAGATACAAAAGGACTGTTGAAGGCAGCCTAATTAGTTTGAAGAGGGAAAATTGACTTTTTTCATAATTCAGGTAAGATAAAAAAAAAAAGAAGGAGGGGAAAAAAAGAAGAAAAAAAAAGAGAGACCCATTCAGACTTTCAACTTCACAGTATTCTCTGGCTCTTTCCAATTTTCTCTTTTTACACATCTGGTTTTGCATCTGTAACTATTGTATAACATTTTCCTTGCTTAACCCAAGTACTGGATTAAGATACATGAAAATATATTTAACATTCTCATAATCCCAAATTTCATGGGGGCAGACAGTTTCATTTCCCCAGATTTCTTGTACTTCTATTACCTCTCCAGTGAGTTTTAAAACACATAGTTTCTCTATAATAGAGTAGGAATGTTGAAGAACTAAAGAGCAACCCAAATATCAGTGTTGCCCATGGTTTGAACAAGTTTCATCGTCACTATCAAAAATTTCCCATAACCATCCTAAGTGTATTAAAACATAGTTGGAAGTGTCTTGTGCAGCGTCTCATGTTACAGTAGGAAAAAAAATTCATAGAAAAGTGTTAATCCATAAAAATACTGACATTTTGCAGCCAGAGCACAGTTAAACGAAAAGGTTTAGTTACTGGATTAGGACACACGTAAATCAGCGTACTTGAAGTTGGACTAATAAATGCACCTATTTTGATTTCCGGAAGGATTAACCATCACTAGCTTTACTTGCCTGCCAGCAATGTATTCCTGTCACAAGATGATGATTCACATTTATCAAATATTAGCAAGTACACCATTCAGTAAACCTCTTGGCTTTTAAACTTGCATTCTATATACAAAGATAGTAATTCCATCCATATAGTGCAATATGGTGCTGTGGAAGACTAACGGGAACAACTGAGTGTGTTTTGCCTGACCTGTCAGCTTTGGGTGCACTGATACTTGTCAGGTACAGGCTTTGCACTTGGGCAGTTATGTTTCAAACTTTTCTAAGTAGTATCAGTAAATTTCCAAGTGTGAACCAAGCCAACGATCGAAACAAAAAGCAAGGAATACTGGAAAGTCGCACATCCCAGAGTACAAAAAAATCTTAGACTGACTTTTTTTTGTAGTGGCTAAGATCCCAGTACTTCTTGAGAAGTACACTGTTATAGAAAAGTAATAAGAGGACAGTCTATATTGAAGAAAGGCTCAGTACAGAACAGAAACTTTGATTTTCCCAATAGGGTCATTAATTAAGAGGTCAGTAATACCAAAGTTACTCATTCACTGTTGCAGAGCAACTACAAAAGCCAAACACTTCACCATTTAATTCTTGGTATTATATTGCGTTTTTGTAATAATGCTTTGTAGTTACACATTAAGCAATGTGATCAACATGCGCCATAGTGCTGAATGCAGAGGTGATTTAGATCCCCAGGGAAAGAAAGGCAGGACTGTAAAGTGGTGCACGTGAGCTCCTTCCATGTGGTTTCAACACAGATACATACAAATATGCCACACTGGTATTACAGGGACTCCTAAGAATTTACTAGTCACGAGGGCCTTTTCTCCCTCTTACCTGCTGACAACCCCTTTCATCTCCACCTAGGGAAAAGTCATACCCAGCAGTCTCATACTTAAGGAGATCATTTTATTGATGGCAGCATCACTTTATGTGTGCAGCAATAAATATATATATATCAGAATGCACAACAAAGCATAAGAGAAGGTGAGCAAACATCAAACCTGCTGAGACTATTCCACAGCCCATAACTGGCTCTCAGGAATACTGTCTCCTTCGCTGGTGAGAACTATTATGCCATGGGCCTGAGCCATCACCACCCACAGGAACAAAGACTATAATTTTCAGTCTAAATACTCTATGGAAACCTGAATTATACAAACAAAGCACAGCCAGGACTTTTGACAAGAGAAATGGAAGCATTCTCAAGTTGCTATGGCTTTGTGCCCAGGCACTGTTGTCATCTCTCTGCTGCTTTCCCTCTGGAGAGGAGTGTAACAAAGGCTCAGTTGTATCTATACTCATGGGATGGAAACTTTGCTTGGGTTGGTAGGAGACATTCCTGACATTCCTACTATATGAAATTCTGTTCTTTGCTGTGCTAGAAACACTTCCAAGCTTTGGAGTGGACTAACCTGACCTACAAATGGATAATACCAAACAAAACCAACCCTCACACTTTTTCCAAAGTGCTCTACTTCATTTGCCGGTATTAGATCAGCCTGGTTTGCTAGTGGGTTTTCATCTATTACTGGATCTCATTCCAGGCCTGGGTCACCACTGCTGCAGCAGAATAAAGTCTGAATGCATTTGATACACAAATAACATTTAACCACCATCCTTCACATACATCATGCAGTTAATTCCCCCAGGGGAGCAGTTCAGATTTTGACTTGTTTCCAAACCCTCAGCTTTTATATGCAACATATCGCTAGGAAGAACTTACAGCAATACTGGTTACACACTGTTGCCTTATTGCTTATACACTCTATATGTAGTTTCATATGCAATATATATTGCATTTGTATCTGCATATAGTTTGTCCTCTCTCAACGTTTGTCATTGGGTTTTAATTAGCCCTAAAACAACATTGTTAAAGCCTCCACTGTGACACTGACAATATACCTGATGAGATGACTGACATACCAACTGCAAGTCTCCTTTGAGTAGTAAGAACACTCTTTGCCTTGCAGAGAACAGGCTGCTGCTGCTCTGTGAGCTGTTATGCTCATAAGCACCGAAGCCGGAAAGCCTGACTACATCATGCAAATCTGCTCTTGACTCTATAGCCCTTAACAAGGTTCTTAAGAGATACTGTAACCAATAGGATTATAGCAAGGGATTTGTTTGATGGAAAGTTATTTAAAAATCTGTAATTTCAAAATATTTTTTAACACCATTTTCCCTTCTTCCCTGGAAAAAAAAAAAAGACTAAGCATGAATTAAATTTTGGGAAGGGGAACAAAAGTCATAATGGAGAAAGAGAACTGTTGTTTATAATCCCAAATGTTCTAATTAATTATCTGTCAAGGTTTATTCTAGTAGATGTGTGCCTTCAAACTATTTTTGTCAAGATACAGGCTTTTTACACCATGGGAAAGCTGTCATTTCACAACAGCCTATTCCATATTATATAGCTTCACTTAATGTATATGTGTCTAAATAGTGCATAGTTAATAGACACCAAACTGAATATCTGTAATGGTTCATTTTAGGGCAGAAGGTAATACTGTATTTGCAGCTTAGTTTTTTTTTTTTGCTTATTTGCAGAAGTAGCAATGGATAAGAGAACTACTTTGGAATGCCAGTCACAGCCAAACAAAAGCTCACAATGCTTCCCAGAAGCCCAACAATTAAAGCAATATTAATCCAAATGGAAGGAACTGCAGGCTTTTTGTAAAGTTAAAATTATGTCCAACTTGACAATTAAAGAGATATTGAACTACTTTATCCATTTAAAACAATATGCAACTGTGTATAATTTTCAGACCAGGCACGGGACAAGTGTACTGCAGCTGATTGTGCCACAGGTTAATATGGCTTTTACAGCAGGAGGGGCTTTGCTAAAAGGACCCTTTATACATAGGCCTCAGGACAGTTTCAGAGATGCCACCAGAGAGCAGCAGTATCCCATGATAAAAAGAAAAAAGAGGCAATGAAACTGTGCTATGTGACTTGTATCTACATTTAAAAAAACTGCACTACGTTAAGTGTTCAGCAAAGGCCTTTGCATGAAGACAGCAGGAGAACTAGAGAATGACGCCTATCACTAACTGCAGAGGTAAATCCTAGGGCTCAACACAGACTGCTTAAGCCCAGTGAAGATAACTACATTTTTCTATTTCTTTCCATTACAGCTTAAATTGGAATATTTAATTACAGAACTCGAATGCCTCAAGTAGATGTTCCTAAATCTACGGAAAAACAAACAGCCATTACTATGAAGGTCAGGGCTGTTTATTTACATAGCACTGGAACATTACAGTGACAGGAACTGCAGAAATTCTAGCACAGATTTATAATCTTAAGGTAGAAAAAAGTACAAGAAAACCAAAAAACTTAATTTTAAATCACAGTATGATAACCTTGCTTATCGTCTTAGACCCATTGCATGTAGATAAACAGTTTCCAACACAGAAAATTAAGAAATAATAAACATAATAAACATAACTCACTTAGAATTGATTACTCTCCTTCATCTGCTACAACTAGGAAAAGGAAAGGTTACAGCTTCATTACATCTTCAGCCTCAGACTGCACAGTATAGGTTCATACTCTCACATATTACGTTATCTATTCTTTCTATTTAATGTCTTTTCTGACAATTTAAATAAATTGCCCTAAACACAAACCAAGTCCAACTTTACTGATTACTGATCTTCATTTTTTATCCTTTGCCAGAGACCTAGCATCCTAGCAGGTGACTTTTTCAGCTTTTGTGGTACATTTGTGTTTTCTTGGTCCAACCAATTTGACTGGTACACTGGTATCCTGAATAAAACAGCTGGAGAACTAGCACAGAAACTGAGTGTTTAGCCTCATATAATGCCAGTGGCACTCTACAGGCTTAGCATTTATAGATTTCATTCTTAGTGTAATGCACTGAAGAGTGATTTTTCCAAACTGCACTGGTACTGATTATTCTAAAAGTTTTTAAAAATTTTAGAAGACTTTTAGATGCTGTACCCAGTACCTGAACCCTACAGTCTGGTGCTTACAAACAAAAGTACTTCACAGCACAAACTGCCTAAATTAAAAAAGCATTATGTTCAGCAGCTAAATAATTGTATTTTAAACAGCTATACTTTATCACATTTTTTCCATAACACCCAACAAATAATGTATGAACAGTTATTTATGCATTCAGTTTATATTTAAAACTTATGTTTTCAAAGGCTGTTCAGATGACAACCAAAAGGTGGGTGCAGATTTGCTCCTGCCCCAGGTTACACAGGTCAAGGGCAGCATAAGGCAGGGTTCTAAAACCAAGACTGGGCTTTAGCTTTTGGAAGATTTGTTATGAGGTACAAAAAAATCATATAAATTATGTCTAGTTCTTCTCTACAACTTGTGAGGGAGGTGGAAAAACAGGGATAATGTTTAGTTTATTAAATGTAAAGCACAGATACCAGTACAAAATATATTGTATGTGTTTCTGTAGACATTAAAAGTAAAACATCTTTATTTTAGAAAGCCATATTTGTACTTCAAGGGAAAAGTTAATTGATCTGAAGAATTAAAATTAGTTCTATTCTTATTACACATCTGCACTATAGTAATTTATTGCTATGAATTATCATAACTTGCTATGAAGTAGATTTTGTCAATGTTTTTGGAAAAAGAACCAACCTGTTTCAGGCTGCATTTCGGTGGTTCTTCCTTCCACTTGAGTGGAGGCCGATTCTGTTGTCTCCATTACTGCAAAAAGTGAAGCAACGACCTCTTTTTATTTCCTCTCAATTTCTGCACCAACAAAAGTTCTAGATAAATGGTTAGATTATGGTCTTACAGACTACTGAGTTCTTCAAGAAATACATCTTCTTTTAAGCAACTATTGCACAATGTCACATTTTCCAGATATTTTAATCTCAACTCTTTGGTATTTTTGAACCAGAGAATTGAATTTTTGATCAAACAGAAGAATCACAAAAAAAAATATAAAACTTATCTCTAAGATTTTTCTTGTCAGTCCATTTCCTGTTATACCCTCTCTGACACAGAGAAGCTAATCTTTTCTCCCCACCCCAAGCAGTCCATCTGAACAACACAAACACAATTCTATACTTAACCGAACTATAATTAATTTGACATTGTCTGTGTTTTCCTGATCTGCGTGCTCTAAATACCTGCCTTTCTCACACTTGTGGGAAAATAACAGAAGACTGGTGAGGAGGACTGTAAACACGCTCAAGTGATTTGCAGCAGGGGTGCAAAAAACCACATATATGATACTAATTGTTGTTTAGTCTTGTGTGTTTGGCAAGCAGAACACCTGCGTTTAGATAACACAGGCCTGCGATAGATTCACAAGGCACCTTATCGAACATGCTGGAGATCCCTGCCCTGCTGTGGGAAAGATCAAAGCACAGTGGTTGGTAAACTCCTCCTGTGCAAACCCCTGACACAGAGGGAAAACAGTAGGTTTGTCAGTCCCCTCGCACAGACCGAGCTCTGCGTCCCTGCTCGGGTGCCTCTGCCCAGGTGTGGCTTTGAGGTTTCCCCTGTTGGTGAGGAAACAAAAATTAATTTACCCTTTACATCTGCAGTTCTGTGGTTGCTCCTGTGTCCTTCCTGTGCCAGTTCACCCACACTACGTGAGCCAGTCCCATAAACCAGCTCCTTACCACATGAAGAGGTTTGGCACTCATATTTTAACTTGAAATTCTTGTCTCCTAAGGTGGCATTGCTTTAATGTTTAGCCAAACAGCTATACTTTCTGTTGCCTTCCAATTAAACAGCAAAAAAGATTACCAGGCTCATTACTGCTTTCACTTTGATCTTCTGGTGCTCTGGAGGGTGGTGAGGGCGCCTTGCGCTTCATCCTCCTTAGAGAGGAGTTCACGGAAGCAGTGTCACTGAGCGGCAGGGAACCTTTCCGTACTAATCCTGGAGGGGCCTGGGAAGGGAGACAGGGGAGGAAGATTATTAGCAATCAATGAAAAACAGCAAAATAGCTTTAGTAATTATTCTCCAGAAGTATTTATAATATACATTTGGGAAAGAGAGAATATATATCTATTATCAAACGTATTTTGTTTTTCATCTTAATTCCTCCAAGGAGTTGTTTAAAAAAAAAAAATATTTTCTACAGTAATTGAATATATTCACAGAGGTGCAACATAGATCAGTGAAAGAAAATCAGTTGTTACATTTAGTATAAATGAGAACTTGAATTCTTTTATGCCCATAGGCTATTCTACAAATCCAAAAAAATTCTTTTCTAAAAGTAGCTAAAATCATTGTAGAAAGTAGCTTCACCTACACCCCACTGCAATGACAGAATGCAATGTTTCCTTCTCCATTCCTTCAACAGCAGTCCTAACTGGGCTGTATACTCAATTATTAGAAATTTATTTCCCTCTTTGAAATACTTGAACTTTCATAGAAATTTTTGGAATGCCCAATTTCAAAACTCATATTGGGAAGTACAACCGTCTTATAATACTTATCAAAGTTAAATTTTAATAAGTTGCAAAACAATAATTATAGTACCTACTGATGTTGTAGTGTAGTAATGTCCTCTCTATTGTAGCAAAAGTAAAAAAGTTCTTAATTCATAAATAATCAAAACCATTAAAAACGGACAAAGGATACCTGTTAAAGACCTTATATTTTTATGATATAGCAGCCCAACTGCATATTAAGTTGTTTTAAAAACACATTCTGTCTCAAAGACAGTGGTTGTAAATTTGTTTGCCATTCTTAATTGCAATTTGCCTTATGCTGAAGAAACCTTCTATATCCACATCTATTACAATGACAATGTTCAGGATTCCCAGCAATAAAGGAATGCATTTTGCACTAGACACAGCTGTCTTTTTCTGTAGTAATTCTAATCTCAATCACTTTCTACTCAACAATATGATAAAATTCAGCAGTAACACTCATTTCTGGCTAGAAGGATCCACACAGCTACTGGATGGGGTTTCATCTTCAGAGAATTTCTCTGTGCTTCAATTAACTAGCCCACTTCACAAAGCACAATATCGAGGAACAGAGATGGTATAAAAACACCTACAAATTCTTGTTTCACTGGCAATCCTTTTGAAAGCATCACAGACAAGAGAACTGTTGACAGTGTTAATTTCCATGGAATAAGATGCTAATATTTAGAAAGCTACCACTGAACAAATACATATCCTACAGTAAGCAGGATATTAAAGAGCAAAAGCTAGAGTATTTGATTGTACACAATCAAATCTATAAAGAAAATTATTCACAAGAGAAAAGATACTGGCACAAGATGTCTGTCAGGCAGTGTTTGGCAGCTCCTGTTAGATCTCAATAGAATACTTGAATGAATAAACTGGAATGATGAAAACTATCCTCTGAGCCACCCTGGGCACGCTCGGTCATTTGATTTGTCCCATCTTGATACCAGGTATGAGAGATCCATAGATATTTTACTGCACTGTAAGGAGCAACACTGTCCACAACATTCGCACAATTCCTCCAGATATCACTCCAAAAAAAACAATCACTTGCCAAAGCAAGCAACTCAAACCTTTTACAGCAAAGCAGAATCAGGGCTTTAAAGAGAAAAAAGACAAAGCACAAGGTGAAATGTTCTTTTAAGAACACCAGAGGATAGGGACATACTTTACTCCTAATTAAAAATACTTGCATGCTTGAATAGTCTTTAAACAAGTCAGTTTCTTGATTAAAATGTCACACAACAAAAATCACTTTACACTTTTATAGTTTCGTATTCACAGTTCCCAAATAGTTCTTAAAAAGGAAAAACAATTAATATTCAGCCTTTGAATTTATTCAGGAGATGATGTCAAATACAATATCATTTCCCCAAATGAGGGGTTTTTTTTTGCTAAGGTACTTCCTCCTTGCGTTTGGGCAGTTCTATTTGTCTCCTCTCTGGTAGCTGCTGGCTGCAGCCCCTCTGTTCTGCACAAAGACACGTTTCTCTGCTCAAAGGTCTCACCCTCGTCTGCTTCACACAGGCTCCCTCAGCTGACTCGGTTGGCTCAGAGCTCTGCGCACACTCGCTCAGCCAAACAGATGTCACCAGAGTTCCCTTCTGCACAGAATGAGTGTGTGTGGGGGGGGGAGGGAATAATGTTCTCAGCATAAGAGCACAAATGCTACTAGAAGATTTTTATAAGCCTTTCTACTGCCCTTTGCATCCAAAGAAACAAACGACTTGCAAAGAGAGATTTCAAGAAAGAACTAAATGTTCCAGTTGAGGTTCGAGTGCTGAACAGATTTTCTCAGGAATTATTCAACATATGAATATTAAGAGCTTTCAAATCCTAACAAAGGCTGTAATGTGAAAATAGTACTTTAAGCAGATGGAAAAAAATTAAAATAATGTTATTAAGACATATCTGACAAAGTTGTGGAATATATACATCTGGGTATTCATGTGTCATACCAACTGCCAATGATAACCAATGCTTTATCAGTTACATTTAAATTAAAATTCTTTTTAGAATCATTAAACTAATTAACTATGCTTGTGCAGAAACACCAGTGAACACTGTCATAACTTCCACAACATATGCCAGAGTTCTACTTTTAACACTGTACACCCTCCTCATCCTGGAACAAGCAAGGGTGAATATGAAACTTTTTAGTCTCAAATATGTACAGACAAATTTGGCACCAAATGCCACACTACCCCAAGCAGAGACTTGTACATATCAGTGCTTCCCAAGTTCTAGCCTCTCTAAGCAGTGGCAGACGTGGTGCCTTGCCCTTCTTAGCAATTCAAAAAACAAGTAAAGGTATTTAAGCCATAATAATTTTGCAGCTGGAATGGAAGAAAACGTAAGTATTTGGGAAAGAATATAGGAGTAGCAGAGCATTTCAGTGTGCTGGAAACCTTACCTCACATACCACCAGTACCTACCTCTTTTGCTCCATACATATCTTAGTTTAACAGAGGACATACAGGCAACTGTATCATGTAGGGATATCAAAGCACATTGCTAGCCATATTGCTAGTATTTCTTTCTCCCCTTTGTACAAGTATGCAGGCAAATGGATGTCCAAGGTGCAAGAGCAAAAAAATGTATTTGCTCCTACATTGAGTGTATTCATGCTCTCAGTTTCTATTACATGACTTAAGCTTCCCAAAATAATTAAGCTTAGACAAAGTACTACAGAGGAAGTAATATACCTCTGATCTATTGGAAAGAAAGTACATACAGAATTTATTTGGAGCAACTCAGCTGGTGATATTCTGTCCAAACACACGATATTACTATTATCACCTAGGATTTATCTGCATCCTTGCTGGTACAGAGGCAAATACAATAAAGGGACAAGGTTATGTATTTGATGTACTGAAAAGTGGATGCATGCAACATTCAACCACCAATTCTGAAACATCTCAGAATAATAGCAAATGATTCTCATGCAAACTTCAGTACAGGTAGTCCTGAGCATTGTCTTCTCTGAGGTAGCCCTGACTCTACTCAAAACCTCCCTGATGTCCATCGTACTCACTGCATCACTGCCCAACTTTTCCTTTAAAGGGTTGACCATGAAGTTGAAGGCAAGAAAGGTTCTGGCTTAATTTTTCAAGCATGGAACTCATCCCTCCCAGAAATCCTAACTAAGCTATTCTGTGACAGTGGCTAAAAAAAATCTTTTCAGAAGTACTTTATTGTTTAGCTGGTTCCCATCCTTTCCCTATTCTCCCATCGTCTCCCTTCCCTTTCTTTTCCAATGGGTAGACTGGAGATTTAAATTTTTTTAGGGTTAGGGTTGTGTAAATGGACCACTCTTGTGCTGCAGAAAGGTCTCTGGAAATGTCTCAGCACTCTTTCAAGGAGCAGCTTTATTCTCCAAGGAAGTATCTTATAGGATCCCTCTCAAGAGTTCCCTTAACAAGTTGAGCAATATGTACCATTCAGTCCAAATTCATTAATTAGATGATATTTACTGGAAAGTGGATACTAAAAGACAAAATATTTTATTTGAATTAATTCAAAACACAGAGCACATTTAAATCCCAAGCTCTGTGTTTTCTGATAAATCACTGTGCAATCAAGTCAGAATGAAACAGAAGTCACCTTAGAAGTCTTTGGCATGCATTTCCTAAGGGGGCTGCACAAAGTAGTACAAAACAGAAAATCTGCACAAAAATATAATTTGTTCTGTCCTCTCTTTGTGAGCTATTCAACTTCAGCCAAATCACTTCAGATGAGTAAGAAATGTCAGTACAAAATAATAAATCTAAGCAATTTTTTGAGTGACAGTCAAGCAGTCATACGTTACTTTCAGACATAATAGGATATTAATCATTTAAAACATGTTGACATTAATAAATTATTTTCAAAAAATTTGAATTCAATTAAAAGACAAACATAGTGAGGTAAAAAAAGATCATTATTTTATTCTCTCCCCCAGGTTCCTTTTATTAAAATTCAGAAAGAAACCTTTGTCTTCTTCAAATGATAAATGATAAAGCTTTTCAGCAAGACACAATACACAAAGACAGAACTTCTGTTAAACAGTGCTCTCTTGTGGTTCTGTGCATCAGTGAAAGACTAAATCATTGTATAAAGATAAAGGAAGTCACAGTCTGAAATTTGTCTCCAAGTCTAACTCAAAATTAATCCCTCAGACTTGTATTTTAGTTCTGCATTTAATTTTTGTAGCATGCCAATAACCTCACATCAAAAAACAACCTTTAACTGTATTTACAGCAAAATATAAAATAAATTAAAAAAAAAAATCAAAAAAATGTTAACCTTGCGCAATGCCAGGATAACAGTTAATGCCTCAATTCCACCAAATCTATTGGCAGAATTTCTTCAAGTCATGGGATATATAGGTTACTTAAATATGTAGCCCACATCTCATAGCTTCAATAAAATACAGCCCTATTTGATTAAAATAAAAACCTTACTTTGACTTGTTGGGAGCACAACAATGTTTAGACTGCTCCTCAAGATGCCCACCTTTTTCTAGCAATGTAAAGAACAAACTACTTATTATCCCATGTAACTAAAACATTAAAAATTAATAGAAATATCACAACATCAATTACTAGATATGATAAAGCAAGATAATGTTCTCACATGTAAGTATATGAGAACAAAAGAACAAAAAGGTGCTTACAAGACCAACTTATACAAGAAGTTGGTTTTACCTTTTCAAAATACAGTAGCTATTTTGGATCTGAAGTTTAAAAGCAATGCATCTTTCAATTTCTATAGTTATTTTCAAGCTAAAATTTTTAAAAGCAAATATACTTTTATTTCCTATTTATTTTGAGCCTCATCATATACTAACAACAGGGCTGTCAGGATTATTATGTCTATACCTATGAAGAGAAGTGAAGGAAATGTAACTAACCTGTGCATTCCTATCAAAGCTGTTGGATTTCACAATATCAGGTGCAGGTCTGACTTGGGCTTGTGAGAGTTCCTGGGGAGCACTCTGGGAGTTTGGCATAGGTGGCAAAGGAGCTCTCCGTTTCTTCGGCATTTCTGATGGCAGAGTGTTTGAATCATACTGCTTGTTGACAGTGTTAGATCTAGTGATAGATGCTGGCCTTGGCTTGCTCATCAATGGAGTTGCTGGGGCACTGGCAGCCTTGAAGTGCGGGAAATAAAAAGAAATCCAAGTTGCATATACTTTCTGGAAAACAATCAACAGTACTGATTGTTCAATATGAACATGTTTCTAGAAATTTTGCTGATACAAAGTTACACCTTACTTGGTCTCTTTTCTTCTTGTTTCGTTGAAAAAAGCTGAAAAATCCTTTGTTTTCTTTCTCCTTCAGAACATCTATGTTTTCAGATTGGTAGGAGTCTAAAATAGAAAACAAGAGTTCTACATGTTATTTCATGTGGATATTATTTCTCCTGATTCTTCCTATTCCACTGAGTCATAAACCTCCTGCAGTGATACACAAAACTCATCATAAATCACCTATACTAATATTTTTTCTAGGTGCTTCAAAATGAAGAGATCTCCCACCATCCATGTTCCTCCTGTCCTTCTCAGAACTCAGGTCAGATGAGTTTCAGTAGCTCTTAATACCCCTAGCACTTACTCCAGCCCATCCCACTTGTCATATGTTATGGTTCATACAACAAAGGCTGTAAAAGGGAAAAAGAGCACAGTCTTTTCAGTCCTCCATTCCTGACAGCCTAAATTCCTGGCAAAGTGTCAAGTGGGACAACCCAGGCCCCAGCCTCCACATGGTGTGAGTATGGAGAAAGATCACCCAAAGCCTCGATCGGTCCTGCACACATTAACTAACTGTGTGGCAGTCACATTCTGGTGGTTTGCAGAATTTGTCCTCCTTACATTTTTTTCAGAGAATAACAGAATATTCTAAGTTGGAAAGGACCCACAAGCATCACTGAGTCCAACTCTTAAGCAAATGGCCCATATGGGGATCAAGCCCACAACCTTGGTGTTTTTATCACCAACTGAGCTCATCCGGGGTTTTATTCATGCAGAGGATTTGTAAATGTAATAGTTGTCTCTTTTTAAATTTTTACTGGAATGAACTTTCTTAAAGAAATCCCATTGAACGCAAATGCAATGAGCAACAGAAATCAGAAAAGCTGGTACAAGTATCAATATAAATGTGATCCTTAATGTAATAAATTGATCTAGGATAAAACTATAAAAAAATACTTTTTATATAGCTGGGTATATCCATTTCTGCACTATCATTTTAAATATGCATTTAAGATAGGACAGACATTACTGGTGTCACAGTTAAGCAGATGTTACAATAGGAGCGGGTGGTAATGTCACGTAAGTGCTACAGTTTCACCGCCTATTTCAGTAAATCATACCTTGCAAAGACCGTAAATTTAAATCAACTGGTGATGTGGCTACAGAAAGACAAAAAGAAAGACAGAAAATATGAATCTGAATCAAGGATGCAGTTACAAGTTATAAACACAGAAAGCCAAGCTGAACCTTCAACATTAGGGAAAAATTAACTGGCTATTTTGCTGAAATAAAAGGATGTGTATCTTTACTGCCTAATGCTATGAGCTATTCAAGAACTTGAAACTGGAGACATGCAACACAGACTGGAATCTTGTTTGTAAGGAAGGAGGCTCCAATTATATTTCTGAAGCAAAGAGAAAAATCAGTATTTAGAATATTTTGCTCTGTAAGTTTTGGATTGTCAGGCAGTCCAAACTTGGAAGACAAAGAGGAATGTAAAATCAAAATATATTAATCAAATAAAATTTGAATTTAAATTCTATTAAATAAAAAGTATACCTCACCATTTACTTTTATAAAGATAACTGAATATTCAGAACTTTGAACCTGTCTGCAAAGTTGAAATGCTGAAACTACTTCGTATTAAGAACTGAAGAACATCTAAATTTCCTCATAGGGCATTGCCAACATATGTCCTTGTATGCCATCCTAAGAATTTCTGGCTGTTGATACAAATGAGGCACAAGTCATATTGTGCAAAATGCAGTCTGTAAATGAAAGCAGTAGGTAACCAGACAACAAACCAGACAATGCACTATGGGCACATGTAGTCAAAGTAACATGTTTAGACAACTTAAAATACTTTGTTTTCCACTGGGGAAGAGAGATGTTTCATTTTTGTTTTCTCTACAGAAAATGGACATATTGCCCAAATCTGTCACTCTGACCTTTAGGAAGTAACTGAGAGAACTCTTAAAACTGTAATCACCAAAGAGTAAGGTTACCATATTTAGGTAAAAAGAGGAGTAAAGACACAAACAAAACCCCAACAAACCCCCCAGGGTTTAGAGCAGAAATAAAGTGAAACAAATACAGTAGTGGTCAAAACCCAGAGTCAATCAATTTCCTGTGAGAAATGTCTAAAACAGATCAAACCACACTGTACAGAATTTTTAATCATAGTACAATAAATCTGTCATGAAAAACAGAGCTGTCCAGTTGAAATTAAAACCTGGACTAGGAATGTCTGTACAAAGATTAGGAAGTTAGTTCATTGTGCCCATTGGACCACAGTTAAAAAGACCATTATTATTCCTTCACAACCTATAAAATTAGCAAGCAGCACTCAGAAATATACATAAACACCATCAGAATATTCTAACACTTTTAAAATTTTAAACAGTTTTAAAGCAAAACTAATTTTCTCTAATGTTTCCATTCGTTTTAGGTTATCATGATCTTATGTCTATGAGCTAAGGGAAACAGAATGTTGTTGCATTTTTGGGGGAAGGTGTGAGGGAAGAAAAAAAAAAGCTTTGCTTTTAGTGAGGATTTGTACTCAGCTACCTTTGTTGCTACTTAACACTTGCTTAGAAAATAAAATTTCTATACAGCACTTCCAAAAACAAAAGTCCAGGTAAACCTGTCTCAGTTTCAAGTTTGTGGAAGACTAATGAAATATATACTAAATTGTTAGAAAATAATTTCTTCATAAGTAAAAAACCCCAATTAAACGTATACATTATTAAAATATTAAGCAAATATCTTTTATATAATTGCAATTTAGAAAAGTATCTTACCTCGACTGATATCCATGGCATATAGTTCTCTTAGTCCAAGGTCATTAAGAGATTTTGTCACATCAAGGGGTTCTTGAGACTGGTAATTCTTCAACAGCAGAGTGTGTGAAGGATCAAACTCACATTTGCTACAGATAATTGGTATGAGTTCTTGAAGGGGTGAATGTGGACTAACTCTTACGACTGTCTTCTGTGTCTTCTTGTAGTTTATCACTACCCTTACCGTTTGCTAAAGAGAAGAAAATTCCAATAAATAGCAGCACAAATTCTGCATGAACTGGCATTTCTCTAACAGCCTCAGAGTAACCACAGGAACTCCACTTATCGCCAACTTCACCAATGTTATAGGTTCAGAATCATTGCATGAGAAACTAAGAACTATTTTGCTATTCCCTGTAATGCAAGGAAAAGACACGTGAAGCAGTCTGCTTCTCCTTTAGCACCTGCCATGTGCCTGGGCAGCAGGGTATGCCTGGGGTGAGGTGCCCTGTAAGGTTATATTAAGAGCTGCAGAAGTCTGGTGATGAGCTAGGAGTAAGTGTGTGCACATGTGTAGGAGGAAGGTAAAAGTGCAGGAGAAGAGCACTTCTGGCCCTCTGCTCAGTGCTTTAGATAAATTACAGTATTCTTCTATACAGTAGAAGGACAAAGTTGGAAGGAAAGATTTAGGCAACATCCAGAAGTTGGTTTAGTACTTCTAAAACTTACTGCCTTCTTAAGAATATATAAATAAAGCCAAGTAACAAGAGAGTACAGTATGCATTAAAGGAAAATGAACATACAGTCAGAAGGGCACATATATCACAGCATGACAGATTGTACAAGATGTTGATTTTCAGTCTGTGGAAGGCTGTATTCAGCCACACTTCATCTGCAGAAATTTTCAAAATGACAGTAGGATGGGGAATTTCAAATAAGATTGTAAGATTTCCTTCTTTTGGCAGCAAAGACATTTGCTGCAACAAATTCAAATATATTTTACCTAAGAGGAGGTTATCAAGAACATAGAGTAAAACATTTCCCAGAGCTGCAAGGTGAGAGAATGAGAGACAACAGGAAAAGCTGAAACAAGAGGCCAAGTTACCAGCTCAACATGTGAATACAACAGTGACTCTAATTTCTCAATTTGCTTTAACTTTAGTTCTCACCTCTGGTATAACTGGAGCAGGTTTCTTCTTATCTATTTGTTTTGGCTTTAAAATCACCTTTTCCACTTCAAGCATTCCCACTGGTGTGTTGGGTTTGAATTTAATCTGGCTACTTTCTGCTGATACCAACTCTATAGTATAACTTGATGGATTTAAATGATACTGTGCACAGAGAAAGACCAGCAAGTCCATCATCGGCTTCCTGTAAAAGACATATGGAATTGTCACAACAGGTGACAATTAAGCAGGTTATAACAAAACATGCTGCTAAACATTTCATTTAGCTCATCCCTTCTCTTCCATGACTAAATAATTACTGCCAGGCACTAATTCTAAATATCTTCAAGATTTAAAAAAATAAAATTAAAAAGAAAAAAGTCAACTCCCAAAAAACCACTAAAAGGAAAACAAGACCAATTTGCATAAAAGTATGCCAAGTGCTTGAGCAAAGGGGGAAATTTTTGCTTGTGTGAAGCAAAGTTTTCCTGAGGTCAACAGGGACATGTGGATTAGCCACCTCATTTGACATTTAGTGGGAACTTTAACAGTGGTGATAAATGCCCTGCTATTCATTAAGAACAGTTCTCTCCTGAAGCTTGAAATTTTTTTATTTGTTCAGAGTTACAAGGGACTTTATTTTCAGAAAGTCCCTTGTATGAAGGGATGAGAATGAGCTTTTTGGAAGAAGCAGGAGAAATAAAGTTTGAGGAAGTCACCTTTTTAAGGAGGTTTTGCATTAGGGATCCTAAAATTCTCTAGGTGTTTAGTACAGACAGAGGGAAAGAAGCTAAATGACAATACAGCAGGTGGTTACAATTTCTTGAGAAGCTCTGTGTGATGCATCAGATGTCCTTTCCACAATGAAGCCCGGCAAACTGAATTTGTCATATGTAGTCAGTAATTTTATGTCCTTGTTCTCACAGTGCTCAAGGAAGAACATGCAGAATGGCATATTAAGACATGCTGAGCATTTCCAGTTGCTACTGAAATAAATGTATTAAATTGTACTTTAAAAAGAAGTGTCATAAATGTTTAAATAATCCAAAGGTAAGGACAGTATACTAACTTTGCATGTTACAGCAACTGAATAAGGTTATAGTACTATCGGATCGTTCCTCAATAATTTTTTTTGAGTTGGTAACCATCTGTAAGGACAGTTTCTTTTTTAAATTCTCTGTATCTCTCAGTTACAGCTACAAACAGAAATCCATCACCTACTCTGTCTTACAAGTATATTATGAAAATAATTTAAAAGTCTGTGAAGCAATGAAATGGTATGTTGAAAAGAATGCTGAAGTGTCTATGAGAAAATTAATACAGGGTTTGGCTGGTATGGCTTTATCAGAAATCTTAAACTCTAGATGTAATCTCATAACAGATGCAAGTATCCTGGTAGCATAGCCAAATGTGGAAATAGAGAGCTTCTACAAAGAGGACTCAGGCCAAGTAGAATTCTAGATAACAAAGAACATGAATATGTTTATTAAGTAGAAAGTTAAAACAGACTTTTTCTATTATACAGTTCTGTAAAAAGAATTAAGAATGACTCAATGTTAGAAATTACTGTGAACACTGAATTTTTCCTCCCTTTAGTTTACCCTAGAATATCATTCCTGTTTTCACTTCGTCTTTAAGACCAAGTGTTCCTTAAGCAAACTGTCTTCTCATCTGTGGCAGCAGGGCTGGACTCTCTGGTGCACATGCTGCACTTCCAGAAGATGGAAACTGGAAGTTGACAGATATAGATACTACAGACATATTTTTTCCAGAGGAAGGCCTGCTTTAGGGGCAGAAGAACACTTGCCTCAGGAGACAAAGGCAGAAGGAACAATAAGACGAAACAAAACATACAGGAATCATACTCCAATGTATCAAAAGTAGTTATCAGATGGTCTGAAGAGGTACAGAAGAATGTCATATATTCCCATGCTTTCATTTGGATGATATATATAGTAGTCTGAGGAATACCATGCCAAATGCAGAATAATAACTACTTCTCCCTCTTCACATAACTAAACCAGAGAGTTTATTTCAATTCATCTCCTGCTAGAAGAAAGAAGGAGGAACTCCTCTATTTCTTGTACTTCTAATCCCTATTAAAACAAATACATCCATCCCACCCTAAAAAAGGGCTGCAAATGCAAATCATATCATTCCCCCATCTCACTGGGGGCTGGGCACGGCCAGGGAGGAAAGAGCCAGAGGTGACTGCAGATACTACTTCTGCAGTGACCTTTCTGGTTATCAGCATATCCAATAAGCTACCCATTACTTTTTTTCTGGTGCATTTTTATACACTGACTAGCTTTAAAAGCTGCTCTTCAGTTATTGGAGAACAGTAAGAACACCAAAGATGACCAGTGTGAGAACTCCCAAGCAGAGATCACAAAAAGTCATCCTATAGAAATTCACCACAGTGACAGGGGCAAGCCCTCACATTAACCAGTGACACAAGAAGTGACAGAATGATAAGTGAGAAAACAGCTGCTCACAAACAAGACAGGTACATGCAAATTAGTACATGAGAACAGTGATTTAGTGCAAGTTTAATTTCCATTGGTACTTCCAGAAATGACCTGCTTGACTGGAAGATGATGGACTTTAAGTACCCCCATCCTCCAGTGGAGCCCAAGAAGTCTTCAATGACTGCTTTAGAAAGGTATTCCTACAGTGGTACAAAAATCAAGCTTTTCTTGTAATCACATCCTCCAAAACTTGTAAAACTATTTTTGCTAAAACCTTCAAGGATTGTAGATAGGAGAATACATCTATCACAGTAAATTTAACAGCTTCCATAATTAATATTTAGTAAAATGCCAGACAGTGGCCATCAGCTGCCTCAGACTACATCATCTCTTTGTCCTGCTTTATCTAATTTCAGTAAAGTACTTATTTTCAACTTAACTTCATTAAGTTACTTAAGTTCTGGAAATCTCCGATTTTCAATATATTTACATATTCCTGCACCCTTTCATCTCTCATCTGTTTTCCTCTGGTTATTCCTACCTGGCTAAATATCAATAAAAAGTGTCTAAAAGCAGCCTCTCATTACATAACACAGTTAAAGGATGAACCTTTACCAGAATGTATCAAACCATGTTATGTTTGTGATCAACAGCATAAGGTGTACCTTCAACTACTGAATCAAGTGTTTAAAGGAAAAACTGCATCAAACTTCCACACTCCTCTCCAAAAACAAGGGCTAGAAACTTGCTACTTAAAAAAAAAAAAAAGAAGAAGTTAAGATTCTGATACAATCAAACTTTAGGAAGAAAGCCTTTCCATCATGAAACTTGCACTAAGCACCACTGAACAAAGAAAATTGTCAATAATCACCAAAAGTATTCCTAGGTAGGGATGGAATATTAAAAAAAAAGAGAGAAGAAACCTACACACACTGTGGTTTGCTATAGATCTCCAATTACTTAATTACTGTGGCTTCATGGTCTTCCTTGAAAAAAATATTTACTAATCCTATTCGCTAAAGAGAAAAAGACATTTGTTGTTATGGAGAACAAGAAAACCCACCAAAACTCCCAGAATTTGTTACAAATAAATTTAAGTACAATAGGTTTAGAAAAGTAGGGCAACACCACAAAGCTTGTTATTCAGTAGGTAGTTATACAGAGTAAACCAACAGTTTATTAATGACTGAAAATACTCCAGAATGGATCAAATGAAAACTCACAAAAGACTCATATAAAACAAATTCAGCAAAGCTAAGGTCTCTCTAAAAGGCATCTGAAACTGAAGTCCTGAACACACTACCCCGCAAACCTAGTTTGACACACTGTTTCCAAATTAATGAATGTCACTATCATATTGGCCCTTGAAATTGCCAAGTTAATTTACTGATGCATACAACTGAAACTAATCACCAATTTCAAGAAAACTTTCTCAAACTCTGCATTTCTTCCCTGTGGGAAACAAAAAAACTAAATTAAAATGATTAGGCTGCTAAAAAAAAAGATAGTTTTTAAGTTGGTTTGGTTTTTTTTCTTCTTTGGCTGCTGAAAATTCTTCAGTCATATGCTGCAAAATCACTCTGGAAAACATTCCAATTAAAAAAAAACAAACCCAAACAACTTCACTCATTTCTCTATTCCTGTCTCAGAACAGTGTACCTTCACTTCCTCCCACTCATTGCTCTTACCATGTTTGAGGGGGGGAGGTTGGTCATTCTTTTGAGATAACTGTTTGCCCAGATCCCCCTCCAGGAATTCTGATGTTAGGAGAGTGCACACATCACTGTCAGATTTTGAAGAGCTGAACTGAATCCCTGTTGCAAACTACTACAAAGTAGAAATTGGTGCTGAGGTTTAAGTAAGAGAATCCACCCGTGCCTGAAGTTTCAGAACGAGGGATGAGTTATTTCAGTTCTCCTTCTTTTTCTCAGTCTTTCACTTTAGTTATTTGACATCAACACAAGAATCAATATTCTTCTGTCTTGTAATCTTTTTCTCTAAAATTCCTTCTGAATTTCATTCCGATCCTCTTTTGCTTACTCATACATACTCAGGATTTTGATCTCTGTAACACCTTGCATTGTGCTGCATAGCTCATGCTATCCACTATGCCAAAGTAGAGGGAGCAAACCAACCCAACTTTATCTGAAATAGAGAAGTTTCTTCTAGTGGACTATAGAATTTGAACAAATGGCTGTTCAAACTCACCATTTTGCTTTTTCTAGTATGAGATTTAAAAGATATTCTCTCCTCAGGACATTTGAAGCTGCTCATCTCCAGTTATGAACAGGAAAGAGACAAAGTACCATTTGTCTGTTTATGTCATTTCTAGAGGGATCTTGCCTATTTGTTCATTGATATGACTATCAGGAGAGAGCAAAGCTAGACTAAACGATAGTTTGAAATGTGTTTCACAGTGGACTGCAGGTGCTGCATAGTATCTCCTCTCATTCCGAGTGAGCTTAGCAGTGCTAATATTGGCTCTTATTTGCAAGAGAGAGATTCATGAACTCAATCACATCCAGTATCTGGATTGAAAAATCCCTGTAACTGCGGGATAATAAAACTGATTGGGAAACATATGCACTTCCTGATAAGCCTGTGAGGCCTGTCTTGAACACTGAGTAATTATACACAATGTAATCTGACCAAGTGAAGATACATGCAACACTCCTTTCCAGCACTTTGTTCTGAGCAAAGCATGAGGGAAGGCCACAGTACTCATCAGTGTGGACAAAGGGAGAGAAAAGAAGAAAGAGAAGTTCCTGACAGTGTACACATGGCGTCTCACCTTTAAGAAATTTTAAAATCAAAGTAAGGTACTGTATTTCCAGACTCCAACATTCCTTGTAAACATGCTGGCAAGAACACCATAAAGCATCAGGTGGTCTCTAATTATTTCAGAAAATTTCTTCTGGTAAATAAAATCTCAGATATAAGTTATCCTGAAAACCACACAGAGTCAAGGGGAGGTGTAAAAAAAAAAACCAAAGAAGTTCATCCACTGCAGCTCTGGTGAACAAGCTCACATTTGATGCCTAAGCAATGACCTCATGAACTCTAGCAAATGACACAGTGTACAAACAGACTCCAGCCAGACTTTATCTCTCATTAAGAAGTGCAGTAGGTATAACCACACATTTACATCACCTGGTTTGAATGAATAAGTAAGTAAATCAATCTTCTTGCTTTCAGTATCAAAGACACGGCTGATACACTAACACAAGCACAATACACAAACAGGTTTGCTTATTACAGCTTAGGATTGCAACGAACTAGCATCTGAGTTGCTGTAGTCCATACACAGCCTTGAACAGCAGCCTCGTTAGTAGACCTGCTATGATAATTAACACAACATTTTAAGTCCCAGGATTTATGATTTCAACCTTACAGTAAATGTCTTATCTGGGAAAATTCAGTGCATCATACAAAACAGTATTTTATAGAGATTTGTAGTGACCAGAAAAAACAACACTTATGGCTACACATCCTGAGAGGTGCCACACAGAACTTCTGAATCTCAAAAAAACATTCTTCCCAAATGGTAGATAATTGTATAAAGAAAATGTTTCCATATCTACCCAAAATCATAGTAGAATAACAGAATCGTTTCATTTGAAAAAGATCTTTAATCCAGTCATTAACCCAGCACTATGAAGTCCACCACTAAACCATGTCCTTAAGTACCATATCTTCATGTCTTTTAAATACCTCCAGGGACGGTGACTCAACCACTTCTGAGCCACCTGTTCAAATGCTTGATAGTCCTTACCCTAAGCTAATTTTTCCTAATATCCAGTCTAAACCTCCTCTGGCACAACCTGAGGCCATTTCTTCTTATCCTATCATTTGTTGCTTGGAAGCAGAGAATGACCACAACCTCACTATAACCTCCTTTCAGGTAGTTGTAGAGAGAGAAAAGGTCCCCCCTGAACCTTTTTTCCAGGCTAAACAACACCAGCTCCCTCAGCCACTCCTCATACAACCTGTGATCTAGACCCTTCATAAGCTTCGCTGCTCTTCTTTGGGTGTGCTTTATTCTCAGGCTCACTTAACTCAAGTGTTTTACCAAGGGATTAAAACCTGGATGAAGGTTGAAGTAAACTTGAGAAAGAAAAAAAAATTAAACAAAAATTCTGTGTAACGTACCTCCCATTAACTGTAGTGTACTTGATCACATCTCCTGGCAGGACCACTGATAGTTCAATATCTTTATCGATTACATTCTCTTTCTGTTCCATGATGAGGTTGGTTGACTCTATGCTACCAAATGGAGAAACAACAGTGAGTGTTGCTTCAGAAGGAGGAGGTGGTGCTTTAGATTTTCTTCTGAAATAAATGGATAAAAATTAAAAGTCAATTATGTATTTATATATATGATTCCATACTGACAAACTAACAATTCTCAAAACAGGAATGAACCACACTTTATCCACAAAGAAAAAAAAAGAAGACCAATAAACATCAAGCCCAAAACAAGAGTTTTTTATATGTACCTTGAAAAAAATAAATTAGTTACTTTTTTTACCTCCCTTGCATTATGCAAAGAACCCTAACTGTGTATTCTCCAAGCAGATTTACTGGATTAGTATAAACAGAAATACTGTACTATGCAGTATGAACCCAAATTGCAGTGCCAGTGTACTTAATACAGAATAGATATGGGAGGAAATAGTGATATTTTTCCTCCCAAAATTTTTCTTTTTATTATTAAAATAATTCAAACAAATCCTACCAGCTCCACAGTATTTACCTCTATACAGTAATAAAATAACAGTATAACCAATTCTACTGTGTTGTAATATTTATTGACATTTCAGTCACAATCTGCTTTCACATATTCTCATCTATGCTGATTTCCACTTTTAATTATCTTGATACCTTTCCCCATCTCAGTGAGTAGCCAGTGTACTCTTGAATGCAAAGACCGATCACTAAATAAGTTTCACTTTAAAAAAAAACCAAAACAGCATAAAAGGAAAACTCTCTACATCTCTTAATATATTTATGTTACAGTACATTCTGAAGGCAGCACTCTCGTGTCCTACAACATGTAGTCCACTATATGGAAAAGATACTATTATTAAGAATTTTACCCTTAGGAACAAAACCAAACCACAGTGAAGACGCATTACCTCACGAGACCTTTTTAATTTCTTATAAGCATTCTTTTAAAAAGCTTGAATGGAGCCACATTCACAGAAAGTTAATATATTTCAAACATAATACACAAAGTTTCCAAAAATACACTTGTCATTTAGATTCTGGAGCTGTACCAAAGTTTGTTTACTTTAAACCTAACAAAAGAAATTAACTTCTATAGTTGTTTGACAGAATTAAAACAAAGGATCTAGCGTACAACAATTAGAAACACGTTTTTCTTGGGAAAACAAAGTTTAAAGTCACTCACAATGAAGAGCAAACAAGGTCCAGAGCAGCATTGCAAAAAACGACTGAGTACTGAGACTTCACATGACTGACCTGTTGCTGAAAGTGCTTAGAGTTTTGAACTTCAGAACTCCGTGCTGAATAATTAACTATTCACAGCCCCTCAGAGCTAATCGAGAGCACTCACAGGCCTCCCAACACACTGAATGAGGATCCGCATTCGAAATTTATACCACTTCTCTGTTAATGTTTTAAATTAGTTTGGTGTGCTCCACATACAATTCAAGAAGTGCAACATGAACCAAATATTTAACTTTGGTCTCTAAAGCAGCTTGCCTGTGTTGTTTCAGGCTTATGCAAACATTGTAAAAAGCATTAATCGAATTTCTTTTTACTCCTCCCCAACTTCCTTAGGGTTTTTTTGCATGATTTTTAGCTTTCACATAACTGCTAAATATAAATTATTAACTAATATAGAGCATCAATACAACCATTAAAAAGAAATAAAACCCCCGGAACATAAAAACTCACCCTACAACATCAATACCAAAAAAAAAAATCCAAACCCAAAGTGAACCAATACTGCTTGTCCCCTTCTTTACTCTTTCTCACATCTTTAACTGACTTCAAATGACTGTCAAAAGGTATTTATCACAACTGAACTCAGAATTTAATTGTTGAAGAAGTGTCACAGAGAGACTTGTTTGCAAATGCTAGTAGACTCTATTTTCCATTGAGCAGACAAATGCAATTTTATCACTGGAACTCTACTATTACTAGAGAGTGCTTAATGACACACAGCAATAAATGCATGGTACACATCAGAAATATGGCTTTACTCATACAGTGTCTAACTTACACTGCAGAGAGCTAAAAACTGACCAAATATTCTTATTAAAACACGTGTGCAACAGCTGGAGAGATGAAGCTCCATGCATTTATTAAGAACACATACACACATGAGGTCAGGCAGTCTAATAAGATTGCTGAAGACTCACATCCCCCACTGCAGAGCCTGGTGCCCCACCCATCTCAGGCACATCTGCATGAGCTTTATGATTAGTTATGCTTATGTCTTCCACCCCAGACAAAGGAGGAAAAATCCCCAAGTGTACTTTCTCAGAAGTCACACCAACTGTCTGGCAACCTCTTATTAAACAACAAGGATTCCAATGCTTTCATTTTCTGTTTCCAGATAGCATGTCTCTTTTTACCTCCCTTCTCACCAATTCTCCCATCTCTCCTTCTTAGCCCAAAGTATTTGCATTTGGTCTTACAGCTTTCTCATTATTTGAGTTTGTCTCTCTACCTTCCCAGAGCAGCAGCTGCCTGAGAGGTAGGCTGGGCTGCACTCCCAGCCACAGAGCTGGTACCAGACAGCAAGAACAATTCAAGTGACCATGATTACATATACGGGTGATGGTGGAAATACACTTGCAGGGACAGTTTTAACCTACAAACCCCCTCCTCTCCCTATTTTGCTATTCAAGAAGCTGACACAGGTGGTTTTCTCACCAAAGCATCCTCCACACATCACTTTATTCAAACACCAAAAGTAACTCCAAGTCTACACTGTCATTTCAAATACTTCTCCATCATAAACAACAAACAAAAGCCTGGTTCTCTCTTGCTTCTTCGCCTTTACCAGGTACTCAGCAAACCGGGAGAGCAGTTGATTTGTAATGATTTTGTTAAAAAGACAGAGTTGTTCAGCTAGTTTCTTCTCCTGATAAGGGAACCCATTATTTTTAGTAAGACAAAATACAATCATAACACAGAGAATAATTCCCAGTCATATGAAAACAACACTTCAGAAGCCAGAAAAAAAGCGTTCAGTAAATAGTCTCACTGACATCACCTTTCATGTTCAGATAGCTTCCAGATGTTCTAGGACCTAAGCAGACCTGTTCTAATTTTCAAAGTAAACCTTAGAAGAAGTTAGAACAACTAAAAACCTGTTATTAATTTTCATGGCTACTACAGAATTAAAGGAAAGCTGCAGGAAGAATCAAAGTGCAGTTTATTTAGCTACAACAAAGAGGAAGTTAAAAGAGAAATTTTAATCGAATGAGGCCACAACTCACAATAAGAACTCCTCTGGAAATTGTGCTGCAGTATCCTACACAATGTGGGTCCTCACTCATTCCTTGTCCCCAGGGGTCCCAGCCCCATCAACTGCCTGACCATACCTACACTAGACATTCAAATTGCCCAGTCTCAACTCTGTAAGGGATGCGCTCCCCACTGTTTATAATCAGATAAACAATCACAGCAACATATTATCTTCTATGTAAATCTTCTCTAAACAACTGCTTAAGACAAAACAGAAGAATAAAAAAATAATTAAAGGTTCTTCCTAGTCCTGGAAAAGGCAGCCAGAGGAACACCCACAATGCTCTCACAGGGACCCATATAAGGTGGTGCAGCCTGGGCAGAGTTTCTATTTCCCTTGTTACCAGAGCACCTGGAGGCCACTGTTTATGCCAAGTCTTTCAGCTGGCCCTCATCTTGAAGAGATTATATTTTTCTCCAGAGAACTGATTCACATCTCTTAGAAATTCAAATTTCTGAAGTCCCACCTGTAATTCCTGCCTGTCTTTTTGACAGAATACAATTCCTATATTAAAGAATTCCTTCAGCCAAATGCAGATAGAAGACATTATCATTTTGTTAAGAAAAACAGTACATCTTTTTAAATCAAATGCAAGGCCACAAAGTCAATATTTTATCTGCTTCAGATCCCACTTCTACAGAATAAAGTGTCATTGCTGTATCTCAACAGCTTTGCTGCTTGCCAAAAAAAAAAAAAGAGTCAGTGATCTGAATGTGTGGAAGCCCTTTTTAAAATAAAGGTCTGACACAGTAAATAAATAATGCATCTATTTATTTGATTTTAAAAAAATTCCTGTTGTTAGAAAGTTACAAACAGTATATTTTTATCTATCAGTAACTAGAAAAAGGCACTATAAAATAATGAGAAATACTTGAACTGACAGTGACCTGGATATCCCAGTTGTCACCAGCACTTCCTTTCAATAAGAAACACTTTCCAGAAAAGAGAGGAAATCTATCTGCTGTATTTGTGTACAACCAAAGGCTATAGCATCAAGAAATATTACTGTTTACAGTGCTTAACTTCCCATTTGGAACACAGTTACATAAGACCCTACACAAAGACAGCTTGATAGCACTCTCACTGAAATTATTTTGAACCTCATCTCCAACATCAGAACCTTTTCTCAAGTTTTCTATAGCAATCACCAAGAACAGGAAAGGTCTTAAAGATCTCACTTGCAATTTAGTCATTTCTAAGGTACTGAAATAGTTCATTAAATATAGTACAATAAAAAGCTTCTAAGCACAACAGGTAGAGTTCAGTTGATTAATTTGATTTATGGCAACATCAAGAACACTGGCTTATACAAAAGCAATTTTTTTTTTAATCAAACTTTAAAAAATGCCCAAAGTACAAGCAAAACTTAGTGTTATTTTCACTCAAAGTCAGAAAAGGATCTAACTCTACTAAAATTACATCAAGAGAGAAAAAAGGCCACTGCAATAAAGCTTCTTCTACAGCTTTTCTTGTCTTTGACCTCTCACCCCAAGCAATTATTATAATGCTTTTGACTATTACAATAATGCTGCTTCACTGCCACGCCATAGTCGCAGACTGCCAAAACCTCACACAATCTTCTCAAACAAGAGTTCAGGCCTACATTAATAACATCGATTTGGGATTTTTTTTTACAATGATACATCCATTTTGGCCAACAGGTATACAAAATATTTAGGCCCCTAGTTTCACGTATAAGCATTCCCAGACCAATACCCATTTTTAATACTCACAGAACAAATTTGTCTTCTACACTAAGTTTATTCTGTTCTGTGTTTGGGGTTAATGGTTTCACTGGAAGTCTTCACAATCAAACACTACTTGCTAG